CAAATAGACATTCTTTAATCAATTTAAGTTTGAAATTTTCATTATTAACACAATAAGAATAAAACAAAGTTGTTTATATTTTTAAATTTAGCTTTTTTTTTTCAAAACTGAGACAGTACAGTAAGAAAAACTTTATTCTTTAATAAATGTTAGGTGATGTTGGCGGCGGTGTTCTAACATTCTTTTGATGTATGTTTTGAACACCTTGTTTATCCGACGTGTTGCGGTGGTTATACAGCGCTTATGACGCGGTGTAGGCGGCGCGACGTCTCGCAACATTGAACAGAGGCGCGTTTATTTGTTTATCTTATTATGCTTAACTTGTGTGGTGATCATCAAAAGAATGAGGCGAGGTCTAGGTGGCGAATTTAAAAACTAAACGTAGTTAAATATGTTTGATCTCCATTTAATGCACCTTGTTAAGACAATGTGTTGAATCGATTACTTAATAAAGAAAGCAAAACTCATTTTAAAATCCGGAGATGAATGAAAATTGTATTTTTGTCTAATTTCATATATTGAAGAGAAAGTATGTTTCTACAATTTTTAAATATCAAATACAAATTAATTTAAAATATCTGCGTGGTAATATATAATATTTTTTGTTTTACTTTCTTTTTGCGTAGATGTGTTTTGTTTACCAACATTTTAAATTTAAATTGATTACGAATGATTATTTAGTAATATATAATGTTAACATTTTTCGGGCAAACGGCCTTCGGGCAAGTGGCATTCGGGCATTTGTCGCATTCGGGCAAGTGTCCATTCGGGCATTTGTCCCATTCGGGCAAGTGTCCATTCGGGCATTTGTCGCATTCGGGCAAGTGTCCATTCGGGCATTTGTCGCATTCGGGCAAGTGTCCATTCGGGCGTTTGTCGCATTCGGGCAAGTGTCCATTCGGGCATTTGTCGCATTCGGGCAAGTGTCCATTCGGGAAATCGGCCTTCGGGCAAACGGCATTCGGGCAAGTGTCTTTCGGGAATTTGTCGTAGACCCGTATTGGGTGTCTGTAAACACGGTAACTTGAGTACCGTTTCAGTTTCGTTTTATGTTTAAGTATTATATCGAATTTATAGTTTTCGAACACATTTTTTATTGATTTCCTTTAACCGGAAATGACACTTTTTTTTTCTTATGGTCTCTTTAAATCCGATAACATAAGTACCATTAAAGTTAGGTTGACAAAATTTCACTAATCACGTATCAGAATAAGATTGTGTGCACAAGCTTATATCTACTTTTTGATCAGTTCGCAGCAATCGGAAATGCTACTTTACTCCATTTCCATGGGAACACGATAATTTGAAAGCTGTTTTAGGCAAGTGGATGAAATTTCATGTACGAGCGTTAAATTATATTTTTTTCAAGTTTTGACTGACTTCCAATTTCCGCAAGTAGTACCTTATTTCTTGCTTATAAAACATTTAAAATACCAAATAACTTCAGTAGTGTTTCAGTAAACAAGACAAAAATTGTACAGATAGGTAGCCTATACTATCTCACTTGCTGTATTCTTTAACTTTTGAAGGCATGGTTAAATGGTTGATTGATAGAATATTGGGTTCAGATATTGGGTTCAAGTCATTAGAACGTCCCTGAGTCCATCTATCTCTGATGGGCACAGGGCTAACCACAATATCAGTTCACATGCCGAGGTCACTAAATCAGGCGAACCATACTTCACATCCGTGATGGACCGTATGGTTCAAAAGGTTACCTCTATATGTTTAAGGTAGTAGGATGATAATCTTCAGGACAATGTATCAAAGAGCTTTAAATGTTACTGCCATACAGTGAAACGCATGATTTTAACCAACAGTCTAACTTACTTTAAGCGATGGCATCCAATTTATTTCCGTGCATTCGATAAAACCCCTTGAGTGGTAGTAATTTGTAAAACACTACATAAACTAAGCATTCTAAAATAAATTAAAAAATTTGATGAGTACCATGGGTCGGCGTGGTCGAGTCGGTAAAGCTAATGGTTGCTAAACCCAAAAGTCTCGAGTTCGAACCCTCGGGCAGGCTCCTTAGCTGGGGGCAACCACTTTTCTAGGAAATACAACTCCAAAATCAAACAACTGCTGAATGGGCAGTTTGTACTTGGTTGAACAAAGGCTATGGAAGCGAATCCAAAAGCAGGCTGGGGTCATTTTATCCACACTGAGGATGTCCATTTTTCTGTGCTTTTGTTGTCAGCATCAATAGCACGACGTGTGCTATTTTTGTTCGACGTTGAGCACTGTGACAGTCTAACAGTGCTTCTTTCAGGTCTCTCCTTAGAAGACAGTGCCCCCGCCCCCTCATGAAGCACGTCGTCGCCCTTCCCGCCCCTCGAACGAATTGAAATTTATACAGAAAATATATACTTTTACCAGTGTCCGTCCCCTCCCCACCCGAAAGTTTCAAGTGCATCCCCCCCCCTCCCACTTAGAAATACGTCTGAAAGAAGCACCGTGTTGATGATTTTGCAGATGTTGATTTAATAATTTCTTAGTTCCAGCACAAGTGCAGAAATCTTTAGTAATTTTAGTACATTTTCTACCATCATCGTGGTGGCGATAAAATGGAACCCTCAATGGTGGCGGAGTAGAGGCCGAACCAAATAGAACTAATTAGCGACGTAAACAGGGTAGACAGATGTTTAATTTACAGATTCAAACTTAGTGGTCCATTGAGCACCTATCTATATAACCTAATCATTTGAAAGATTAGTGTTGTCTGCATTATGCCCATATATATTTTCTTTCACTAGCTTGATTTAAGTACCAATCAGATAGTTCTATGTGTTAAACGCTGCTTCTGAACTCGAGGCTTTCAGGGCAGCAGTCGTACCTCAACTATTCGACCACGCCTTCCCAGTAGATCAATGCATCACAAAGTTGGTGAACATTGTCCAAGAATGAGATTTCTAGAGAGCTGATTTTTTGGCAGCAAATGCTCTAAAAGTAACGAAAGGTGCTAATAACAAACTGCATTGTGCTATATTTTAAAGTAATCAGTAATTATAGTCTAACAAGCGATTCACTGAGCAGATGAACCAGAGTTCATGTTACTTGATATAGTCATATGAAGGGATGGTCTGCACTATGCCCAGTCGCATTTACTTCCCCTAACAGGAGTCAGGTACTCATCGGAGCTGAGTTTACACAGAGATCCTATAGTGACACGTCCGAACCAAGATCCAAACTCGAGACACTCGGGCCATTAGCCAAACGATCTGCCATTCGACCACACCGTTCCTTTTAGTCTTACTGGAGCATTTAATTAAACTAAGTTAAAATAAACCGGTAGTGATCTCCCCTAAACTTTCTCGAATATTCTTATATAAAACAACAAGGGGATGGTAACTGGGGATATAGTTATGATTTTTAATCCATTTTAAATACTAAAACTTTTAAAAATAGAATAGAATCTCAGTAAAAAACAATTGCGCACCAAGCGAACGCCTAATAAAGGTGTGTATAATAGTGCGCAATATTATTAGTACTTTTAAAATTTACATTAGTTTTTTGAGAAATCGGAAGTAGCGTAAATTACTACTTCCTGTCAACGGAAATTACTCAAAATTTAACAGAAGGTAGAGAATTAGATCTTTTACTTACATGTGAAATTTCATTTATCTATCTGAAATAGTACTCAAGTTATAGGCTTTTAAAAAATTCAAAGTAGGAAAAGTACCACTTCCGGTTATCGGAAATCGCTTAAAAGTTGATACGGATCTACGATTTTGATAAAATACTTATATATGAAATTTCATCAACCTAGCTGTAACGGTACTCAAGTTATCGTGTTTACACACGGACAGACAGACAGACAGACAGACACACACACACACAGACATACGGACAAGATTGCAAAATTATGTTTTTCCGTATCAGTGAGGTGTAAAACGTCGAGATTTGTAAAAATCTCGATTTTTTTTTTTTGCACGATTACAATACTTTCTCTATACTACGTATATACGAGAAAGTAAAAAACCAAAGCAAGTCGGATATTTTGTTTTACAAAAGTTTCTTCAAAGAAATATTTTGGAGTTTTTCAACATAATTTTTTGGAAAATACTTTAGTTTGTGTTCTTCTTATTTTTCGTTCTTAATTTTAGTGTTGGAAGGGATCCCCTACAACACAATTAAGTATACGTGTCAACTGGTTATGCGCCATTGAGGCCATTGACTCCGATTTCATCCTGCTTTTCTTTTTTGGATATGCTTCCATAGCCTTTGTCCAACCAAGAACCAACTACAAAGCAGCAGTTGTTTGATTTTAAAGTAGTCTCTCCAATAAAAGTGACTGTCCCCAGCTGACGAGCCTCATCTTCCCGAAACTTGTCGGTTTAATAACCATGAGATTTACCGACTCGACCACGCTGACCCCTAGTTTGTGTTGATACAGCATGATATATATGAAGATTAAATGTCGCACGACTCTGACTAAACCATTAACACTTTAGATCTCGTCCCATAAGTTGTAATTCGTTCCAGTCCCACCAGTGGAAACTTAATTTCCACCAAATAAGGAGAACAGACTTAGTTTAGTAGCTATATATTAAAGTTTGTAAAAACCCTCCACAACTATACATGACCCACTCCCATTTCTAAAACCGTATAATAACCAAAATACCGCAGTAAATAATGTTGTAGCAGAGAAAAATACATTTTCCACAGCGAATCCACGATAAAACGAAAAGAAACAGGAAATGAACTCAGCAACAATATAGATAGCATATTTGTAAAGTAAAAGAAAAAAAATTAAATTCTGATTAATAAGTTTTAGTAAATATCTGACAAAATAATAATTTAGCATTGCTTCCATTCTGCAAGACAACATAAAAGTACGAAGTTTATAAAATTATAAGGCAGTTAATTATGTCAAAGTCAACATGTTGTGTTTATCCTATACAAATTTGTTACCAGCACGTTATCACCACAGTCGATGTTTTAACTTTAAATCAAAACTTTGGGTAACTAGTGGCTATCTCTGTTGATCTTGGCATCACCGCTTTTGACCCCTCTAACAACAAAAGTTAAGTCTTGAGAAATGACTTGCTGACCATAAATTATCAAGGTACCAAACGTTGATGTGTATTCTTGAATATACATTACATTGTAAAAACTGTAATAAGCACATCTATAAAAAAAACAATTAGGATTACAGTTATCTAACATTGTTTGAACTAAACAAAGGAAGGAATATGTTAATCAAAATTTGAAAACAAATTGGTGCTCTTAATTTAAAAGCATAAATGATTATCCTTCAAACCTTCAAATTAATACTGAAGGCTACACAAATTACAATAATTTGATTTTTTTAAAAGCTGCTATGTCAGCAATAACTTAGTGTATAAAACTTAAAGAAAAAATAATAACTAATAATAATACACTAAACAAAGGAAACGAAGAAAAAAACATGCGAGTTTCAACTTCTTCAAAAAAGCAACAACACTACATAATTTTAAAGTAGTATCGACTGGGTATTACTTTACTATACCATATAGGTAGTTAAATTTAATGTTCTAACCAAGGTATGGACTTGTATTCCATTATATGCAGCGTCGTTACTAGGTTGGGCGTCATTTTACGAATTGTATCATGTTGTCACCTCTTAAATGTTGTCATCTGTTCTAACCGCAAACGCCTCCCCCGGCCATGTGACGCCATGTCTACTATATGTTATTTCTTACTACCAGTGACGAACACTGTCCTTTAATCTCTTCTGAAATTTGATAATTTTTTCTTCAACTTGTTTGAGTTTATCGGTGCCTTGAGCGTCAGCCCTAACTTTAGCCAACAGTGTATCTGTACTCTCCTTAAGCTCGGCCACCAACTTCAGGGGAGACTCAAGCTTTGAGAACTTTGTGCAAAGACTTGACAGTTCTAATATTACCTTATTGCTCATAAGATCTTTTAACTGATTGAATTCAGCATTGGTAACATTTCTTTGCTCTTTCAATTGAACAAAATCCTTAACCCTCGTTTCCACTAAAGATAAGACTGCTGGAGTTTCAGAGAGTTCCTTTAAAAGGGATTTACAGTTCGTACGTATTGACTCATCTCTGGAAAGAATAAGATCCAAATCGTTAGACATAATCTTCAGTTTATCATCGTATATTTTTGTCAACTGCTTTAAGTAGACTGTAAGTATTAATTTTTTTCTGTTTTCTTCATTTCGATTGTACATCGTTACAGTGTAAATGTTGTTCGGTTTAATGCCAGCAGTGAATTCAATAATCTTAGATACAGAATTTTCTTTCTCTTCAAATGAACCTTTGTTGTTTATCAATACGATTCTACGCTTACATTCTCTAAACAATTCCTGCAGAGGCCCAATCTGTTCATCACACCAACGCTGAAAAAGCTGATTTCTGGGTATGTTTTGCTTGTTTTTAATAAAAGTTGGTTCTTCCTCTACGTTTTTATAAAAATTGTCTCCGTGTGTTATTATAACGATGCAGTGATTGCGTATTATATCAGATCCAAAAATAGCTTTCATCATTTCAGTAACTCCTACTTCCTCTGCAGTATACCTGTTTTGAAAGTTTAAAACAAGGAGCAAAGCATGGAAACAACTGATTAGTTCAAATGCTTTATTCATGTTTGACCGGGCGAATTTAGCATCCTCCACTACATCATTTTCTGTATCAACGAGCCCAGAAGTATCAACAAGATTCACTTTACCTTGATCATTAACAACACTAAACAACCCAACTTCCTTCGTACAGGCCGACATGTTGGTTGACATTTTAAAAACCTCTCGTCCTAAGATCGTATTTGCTGTTGAGCTTTTCCCATTTCCAGTTTTACCAACCATTAGGAGGTTCAGTTCAGGCTTGCTTCCTTTTGCTCCCATAATGATCTTTCGAGAAACCTAAAAATAAATGTTTTAAAAATGTTAACTGTTTTACTTTTTAACAAAAACTGATCGCTGTAATATTTATTATATCTTGCTAATGTAACATAAATAAAAATAATTAAGAAACCGATTGAAATCAATAACCTAATATAACTCTAAATGATAGCTAGATGGTAGACGCTGCTAACCCAGTACTATGAAGTTGAGATCCCTGACTCGAGTCCATAGGATATTCCCGAGTAAAACCCAGCTCTGACTAAAATTTTAGATTAAACTGCATCCTAATTTATTCATTTAAATTTTTTCATTGCAAATCTATATATATATATTAAGACAAAAAACAACAACACAGAAATAGGCCCAACGCAATTCTGACCAGAAATAATAATTATTTAAAAAAATCAGTTTTTATCACATTTATGCCCGCGAAAATTGTTACACGTGTAACTTGATACTTGGTAGCTCGGTCAAATGAATATGATCCACGAGACCTTGATGGTTTTATTGGTTTCCAGTGTTCGGTTTATTTATTTATTTATTATATTATTAATTTTGAAACATTTTCTTTTATAGCTAAGTCGATCTTTAGTGTGCCTTTTTTTAAAAAAATAAGTAAAAGAAGAAAAGAGGTTTGAAGGTTTGCCTATCCTTCACACTACAGCTCAGTTTCATTTTTTGTTGTTGTATGCAATAGAGTGTGTTTGTTACTGTAGAACAACCAGAGCAGAAGCGAAGGTTTTTATTTTATTTTATTTTTATTTTTTAATAAACCCAATAGTCTATTAAAACGTACAAAAATAATTTTGTTATTTTTGGTCGGATTCTGGTCTCACTAAACGTCTTACCACCCCCCCCCCCCCTCACCAAAAAAAAAAACACCACTATTTCGGGGTCAAACGATATGGTAGCTCCGCCCCTGAGTACAAAACTATTTAAATAAGAATTATGGGCACCTCTTTTGGACTATTTAAAGAAGAACAATAATTCATGGAAGTAGTTTAAAGGTTTCACACCACAGCTCATGTAATTTTATTTTTCTATACTACTGAAAAAAAAAAAACTTTAGCTGACTCTATTAGAGTTCGTAAAAGAAGTATCAATAATTATTTGATAAATGTATATGTTATTTTTCAACCGGGGACCTTCACAAAAGGTAGTTTTTTTCAATATGGCCGCCGTTTCCCTTACATGAAATATGTTGTTTTTTATTGATTCTCATTGACTGGTACAGGAATAACCTGGATATATATGGTTTTTTCGCAGGTAAACATTGAACATCCGTTGTTCTTTCATTGTGGCATGTTTAGTAAAAATCTAAATCTTGCGGTATTGAGCTGGGTTTTTGCTTTCATATTTTTATACAAGTTAGATATGCACTGGTACTACATGAAAAGGGCGCTAACTCAAACATTGCAGAAAAGTTGACATCTGTTGTTTAACCCGTGTGGTATTCAATTGGTTTCTATTCTAAGTGTTAAGCGATTTATCTACTCACCGTACCGGTGTAAATACTTCCCATTTACCTTGATGAAAAAGCGCCTCAAACCCACCCCCTTTTTAAATTTTTTTGTTACACAATACGTTTTAATACAATTATTTTTTTTAAAGTATTAAAGAGTTATCTACTCACAAATCCAGTACAAATCCTTGCGATCTAGTCAGCGAAAAAACCCCTCCCCCCCCCTTTCCCACACCTTTTTGGACAAGGTTGTATAGCGGGTTTTAACGTAACTAACTTATTTACTGTATTTGTCAAGCTTTGGGAGACTGAGATGGACAAAAGAATTGAACGACGTCGGAAAATGACAGGAAAACTGGCAAGATATCCTGGACTTTCACAAGAAGAAGAAATTGTGCGCGTTATGAAGGGCGTTTTTGATCGACTTTAACATGAGATGTCAACACGTTTCTACGACTAAAAGACCTGAAAACAACATTTGGGTTTCTGTTGGATGTTAAGACTTTTATATCCGACACAGATGTAGATAAAATTTCGTCGAAACAGATTTTGAAAATTTCTACGACATGGACATCGATTGTCACGAAATTCTCACAGAATATAGATATTGCAGAATGCTGCTCAGAAAAATCCGGAATGAATTTCTACCAGAAACTCCTTTGGATCTTCTTGGTTTTATTGTGTTATATGGAACCGACGTATTTTCGAATCTGCGAATTTCAATGGAACTTTTATTAACAATAGCAGTTTTAATTGTAAGCTGCGAGCGCTCGTTTAGCAAATTGAAACTTATTTTGTATTTACGTGCGTCAATGAGTTAAGATCGTCTCAGTGATCTTGTTGTTCTAAGCGTGGAAAAGAAACATTGGAAGAGAACAGATTTTGATTGCGTAATTGATCAGTAATTGATCAGTTTGCGTGAGTGAAATGAAAATAAAATCTGGTGTAGACTATGTCAACCAGTATATGAAATTGACTGAGTGGGTCATGTACTATAATTTCCATAAATTTACTTCATTAAATTCCAGGGGCGTAGCGAGGGGGGGGGGGGGGGGGGCGGGGGTGCGGACCGCACCGGGTGACACCATTTTGGGGGGAGGGGGTGACATCAAGGCGAAAAATAGCAAAATATATAGAGAAAAAACTTGAGGAAGGGGGTGCAAATCGAAAGTTTGAGGGGGGGAGGGGGGTGCAAACAGAAAATTTGAAAGTTTGTCCCCGGGAAGGGTCGCTACGCCTCTGTGGGGGTGACACCATTAAGTACCGCACCGGGTGACACCCGACCTCGCTACGCCACTGTTAAATACAATGTTTATTAAAATTTAAATGTTTCCTTATTTAATGCAATACAAAAATGTGATTAGACGGGGAGGGGGCTGGGGCGCTAATTTTATAGTTCGTCCCCTGGCCTAAAATATCACAGATACACCCTTGCATTCTTAATTTAGTCGGTGAAAAAGCTCCCCCCCCATCTAGGAAAAGCTTAAAAGCGGTTTTTCTCGGTCACTGTTTCTTAAGAGTATTTGTGTTGCAGTTTCACAGCACAATCAAGGTAGAAACTGTTAAATCAGTATGTAAAGGCTGGTAGCCGTCACATTTCTTGACTTTTCCTGTTTATAAATCAAAACCGCAGCTAAAATGAGCTTTTAAGTTTTGTCAACCCCCTTCGGCGCCCGGTGACATATTTACCCCCCCCCCCCCCCACGCCTCTGCCCCCGCCTGAAAGTTTCAATTGCCTTCCCCCTCCCTTTCTCCCCCGAAGAAAGACATACGCGGCGGCGGGGTTGGTGTGTGTGAAACGGCAGCTATACAAGCTGGTTAGTATAATAACTATTAGATAATAAAAAATACAAGGACTAATGTCACACACAGACACACGCCTATATATATATACACTTTTTGTATATACATATATATATATATATATATATATATATATATATATATATATATATATATATATATATATATATATATATATATATATATATATATATATATAGGCCTATATATATATATTAGTGTTCGTGTGTTTGTTTAATGTGTGTGTACTATACACAAATGTATAAAAACTAAAAACTGTTAGAAAGAGAAGACGAAAGCATCTCTATTTGTAAACACACATCTGTGTATTATACAAATGTGGTAACAGATAGTGAATAATATAACAACTAAAAACTACAAGAAAAAGAAGAACACATGCAATTATTTGTGTAAACACACATGGATAAAGGGCCATACGTAACACAACACAGAAAGAACACCGCCATTACTCATTTCACTGGCGAGAATATTTTCCTAGAAAATGGATGTAGGTCACAGCGACAGATGTTGTGTTTACAATAGAGCTGTGTTACGCTAAAGTTATAGTCAATATAGATGGCGCGCTGTTTTGGGTCTAAGTGAGGCCAAGTCGATTCAGTGTTTTGTTTAGGGATACTGCACGTCAACTTTACCCAACTCAAACTCCGGGAGAAATACAAAATATGTACGAGAAATGTAAAACACGTCTATCAGAAAATGTATCTCCATACAGGGATAAATGGTGCGTCGTGGCCTAGTGGTAGAGAGCTAGACTGCTAACATGAAAGTCTCGAGTTCGAACCCGGGCTCAAGTCAATAGAAAGGTGCTGCGTCCACCCAGCTCTGATGGGTACCTAACTCACGTTATAGAAAAAAAAGACGGCTGGGTAAAATGCTGACCACAATATCCATTTATATGCCAAGGTTTCTTAAACAGATGAGCTCTACTTCATCTGCCCCATGTGTCTTGGATACGGACGGGACAAGATCATTCTGGGATAAAGTGACCCTACCCCTTCTCTAACCGGACGCTTCACGTCCTCCCCCCCCCCCCACTCACCCTTATACTTTCAGAGCAAAATTTCTGAAACAAATCCTGAGTTGATTATGAGCGCTAAATTGGCCTACACCTTTGTTTGCATTATGCGGGCGTAATATTATATCCGTATTATCCGTATCTATTCGTTAATCCTCACCATGGCCCAAGCGCGGAATGTATCATTCGCGTTAGCAGCTATGCAGGGGAAATAAATTAAACTGCACGATATTACGCTGCATTATCATTATTCGTGTTTTTTTTCTACCTAGCTTAAATTATTCTAAACCAAACTATGTCAAAATAGTGTGTGAATTGCGAGTAAAAAATGAATTGTAATGGAAAACAAAATGTACTACATAAACAAAATGTGTAAAAATAAACAAATATAACATTTTATATTCAACTGTGTTTTTAAATTTACTATTTTAACATAACAGTAGATCAATTATATTTTCAAACACCAATTAATAATTAGTATTTAGAAGGCAGTTATTCAATTTAAAAAAAATCTAATCTACATAAGTAGATACACAAATAGCACTCACACGCAAACACGCACACAATCATGAACACGTAAAACACATTAACGCTGCATTCGTCATCTCAAAAAACGTCATTTACGGGAAGAGCAAATTTTCCTTACAATCGGATTTTCCTGGAAAAGAAAACGCGACACGACGAACAACAAACCAGGCCTATGTGTCCTACTGTTTAAGTTGACCTATATTTTAATTATGCTCCCTTCTGTTAATTAATACAACACTGACAGAATCCTATGTAAATATAGGTTAACAATTTAAGTATTTAAGGTGTTTAGAATAAAATAAGTATTTATAACCAATTAAGATTTTATTGAATACAATTGCTTTTCTTTTATAAAAATAATGAACACTTTTCAATTGTTAGATATTGATTTTTTTATACATTTGATTTAAACTGCATTCCGTATCCTTGATGATGCGTCGCAATTTTATAAAATATAAAAGTTTTAAATTTGTACTCACCAATTTCCTTCGCACACACCTACAAGTGGTGAGTGCTGTGTTTGACGTCAACTGACCGTAAGCTTGAGATGTGAGTAGAGTTGTGCGCTGATTTGCTCAGGTATTGCACGTTCACATGGTCAGGTATATGCAAGCTGTCACGTGATTCAGGCGACACGTGCATGCAACATGTTCAGAAAATAAATTGAGTGACGTTTTGCACAACTTGCTACAAGAAAAACGTATATTAAAGTGGAGTCCGCTGTTGTCATGTAATAAGTGGCTTAGCTGTGGGGGAGGGGGGGGGTTGGGGGATTGGAGTAGTGGGCAAAGGATGGGGGGGGGGGTAAAGATGCCATTTGGGCTGACCGTAAAAGGGGCGCCCCAAAGAAGAGGAAAAAAATTTAAAAGCTGTCTGCAAGTTGCACTATTGAAATATACACCAAGTTAAAAAAAATAAACTGCTACAAGGATTTACATACTGATTTAGCTGGGTTTTTTTTTACTTTTATTGTGGAACAATAAATACCTATTAGTTTCAGAGACAGGTAACAGACGTTTTTTTTTCAATATAAATTAATAGGATCAACACGGCATTGGTGAGTAGACATGTCATTTTACACTTGAAACACCGTTGTATAAACGCGTAATGTACGACTTCTCCAGTTTTGTGAAGGAGTGACGCGTTATTCATAGTCAAATGCTAACTTTCTCTCAACTTCAACCGCGAGAGATCCCAGCCTTTTGTTTTTATTAGAATACATATGGTCTGGGTCCATTGTATTAGAGAGAAATATATTTCACGCTTTATTATATCAGTCTCTAATCAACAGAATAGCAGACGGTCGATGGGGTCGGGGTGGAACAACAAAGTGGCCAAGACGAATTGCAGTTACAAAACAATAGTACGCAATAAAGATTACAATACTTCAAACAAGCTTCTGTCTCTGTCACTCAATGACGTCATAAAAAAATAGAAGAGTATACCACTCACGTATCCAAGAGGTTAGGGGCGGCACTTATGCTTTTATCAGATTCATCTTCTTCGTTCTTAATTTTAGCCTTGGAAGGGATTACCTCCAGCACAATTAAGTATACGTGTCAATTGGTTAGGCGCCATTGAGGCCATTGACTGCAATTTCAGCCTGCTTTTTATTTTGGATTTTCTTTCATAGCCCTTTTTCCAACCAAGAACAAACTACAAGGCAGCAGTTGTTTGATTTTGGAGTTGTCTCTTTTAGAAAAGTGGCTGTCTCCAGCTAATGAGCCTCATCTGCCCGAGGGTTAGAACTCGAGACTTTTCGGTTTAGCAACCATGAGCTTTACCGACTCGAACACGGCAACCCCTAGAATCTACTAAAGGAAACCTAACACAAGAGAGAACAATTTTAAAATGTCATTATATTTGATTTTATTTCTCTTGCTGCAGTAACACATTATTTTGTAACCGAACATATTATTATTTGTGTTTTAAATATGTATTCCTCAATGTGACACCATTTAGGAGGGTGACAAAAAAGCAAAAAAAAAATTGCAAGATATATTGAATAAATATTTTTTGCCAGTTCAATGAAAGGTTAATTAGAGTTTAAAAATATTTTAAATACATAACGACCATCGCTTCTGTGGGGGGGGGGGGGGGGGGGAACCATGACGTAAACATACAAACTATAGAATAAAGAAAACAATGTTATACCCATCTGTATTAACAACCGACTATAGATAAACATCATTAGTATTAAATGTGAACACTTTTTACTTGGGGTGACAACAAATGCAAAATGTACAGATAAAAAAAAGGAGGATGTGACAACATGAGATTGGTGCCGCATCGGGTGTCACTCGACCTAGCGACGCCACTGGGTGGAAATAATTATCAGCTTTAAACACGTAGCATCTTCAGACAAAGGGCCCAACCACCAAGACTTCCACTCTGGAGTTGAGTCTTAATGCTTTTGGCAAGGAGCCAGATCTCTTAAGCAAACTCCCCCTTCACACTGCTAAGAACATCCGTTTTCAGTCAGAGGATGTGGCTAAGATGGTAAAGCCAATACATAAAATGCTCACCGCTGACAGTTGGCTCGTACGTTGCTTTACTGGCATGCCACAATATGCTAATGAGAGCATACATGCAAAGATTTGAACACGTATATTAAAACATATCTCTTTTACGGTTTATAAAATACTCTAATGATAAGTAGACAATTATTGATGGTTCTTTCATCATGTAACCTAATGGCAAATTTTGGTAGCTGATGTATTGCACCAAAACTTTACATTTGTTTAAAAAAAAGCCAACTATATTAATGAATTAAATGTATCAGCCTTTTTTACATCTATAAATCTTATAGCATAGAAGGCCTATTAGTGTCACAATACCAATTACTAAACTAGCTTTTAGTGCTTTTGATTTTGTAGACTTCGAAGGATTTCGAAGATGCATTAAAATTGTCAAAATTGGGGTCAACTGTTCTATGATCGACTCATTCAAATTTATTGTAATTAATTTTCTGTGTATGAGTTGCACTTTCCTAATCAACACATCATTGTCTTTTAGGACGAATGTGCAATTTAAAAGTATTTTGTTCGATCTTCTCAAACTAGTCACATCTTCCTCATTCGCGGATCCACGGTGTATCAACTGCGAGGTAGCAGCTATCATTTCGTCCAAATAATTTCTGACACATCCACACAGTTTCGGGGGATCTTGTTTTAAAATTTCTTGTCCCTTCTCCTTAAAATTGTCTGCGAATGTTTTGATTGTGTAAGCTCCTTTTTCATGTAATTTAAAGCCTAGTAACTGTTTCACTGCCTGTTCCTTTTTGATATCATAGGGTACGCCCCTGTTATAGAAAAGCACAACTCTATTACTACACTCTTGTATTAATGTTTTTAGTAAATCTGTTTTTTACACCAGAGTTGAAACGGAACAACTCCTTCTTCTTCTCTTTCGTTATTTAGATCAAAGTTATCCCCTTGAGTCATTATAATAATACCATAATCTCGAAGAACGTTTTCACCGAAAATATATTTAACTTTCTTCACAGCTTCTTTGTCTTTGTCAATATCTACAGCCCCGTATTTTAAAACCAAACAAAAGGCATGTACTCCTTCGGGGCAGATTCTCATTAATTCCGGTATCCGGATTACAGTGTTTTCTCGATCCTGGACAGCATCACGATCCATAAAACCTGGAGTGTCAACGACCTTAACCTCACAATCTATTCGTGTTTTCAACTCAACTGCTACCTCATGGGTACATGATTTACTATTGTCACTGGTTGGAAAAACCACCTTTCCTAAAATAGAATTCCCACAAGCACTTTTGCCATTACCAACCCTACCAATCAGTGCAAGTGTAATATTTTTTCTGCTTGGCGAGGCCATGTGGGAATCATTCTGTTGAAAATACAATTTCAGAATTATTAGAATATTAAAAAAACATATTATAGAAGATATTTATATAACGGTAATCAGTGATCATTTTTAATGAATATATATATATATATATATATATATATATATATATATATATATACATATATATATATATATACATACATATATATATATATATATATGTATATATATATATATATATATATATATATATATATATATATATATATATATATATATATATATATATATATATATATATATATATATTTATATATATTAAAGTTGTATTTGATTGCAGCTAACATACGTATGATTTTAAAACTGTTTCCTATCAATCTGTTTTTTTTTCTTTAACTTTTAATACAAGTGAAATTGGACAATATTATTTAAAAAAATAAAATAGAAAAGATTTACTTTACTCTCATTTTAGATTCCGATAAATTGTTGGTAGAATAATGATTATTCCTTATTGTCACTCTTAATTTACTTAATTAACTGTAAAACATGTTTCAATATTAATATGTATTTTAAAATGTTTCAAAATGTTTATATTTGTTAACATTAAAAAATACAAAACAGTTCCTTTAAAAACAACTTTAAAACACAGTAATCGTGAATTTGTTTTTCTAGTACACTAAAACTGTTTTTATTGATTGATTAAGATTAAGGAGATGTAACTCTTTCGTAGTTGTTAGTAGGTAAATCGAAGAATATTTTAAATTTCCAGATTCTTCTTTAGAATCTAAAAATGCATGCCCATATTGTTAGAAAAATGTAGTCTGATTTAATTATAATATTGAAATTACGGTGATAATTTTTTTGAAATAAAACTATCAGTATCTAACGGATGCTAGTATTAAAGTACCAACAGTTATAAAATTTGAAAATGTAACAGTAACACTAATTTTTAACACATAAATAAAATATATTCATTAGCTTGTCCTTACATAAAATTTACAGACGCAATTATTCATATTGTCATACATTTACCCCTAAAGTAAAAGAACAAAGAAATCTAAAACTTACCGATAATGCTTTTTTGATAAACGATCTGAATTTTATCTTCTTCACTACAACATTACCAGCTACACAGCGGGAGCAAGGGAGTTAACCAGCACGGTGAATCTAAAAATAGATCTGGTTTTCCCTGACGTGTCTTCTTGAGTTGTAAATTAAACGTTTCTAATTGAAGCAGACAATCGCTGTTTTGTTTTTTACATGATAGTGTTTTATCATGTACACAAACAAAAAGTAAGTTCGTAAGATTGGAGATGTGTTTCCTAAGCACATGTAGACAAGAAATTATTGGCGTACAGCCGTGCTATGTTGGACCTGAAAACGTAGAGACATAGACAAAGAGCAGTGGCGTAGCGAGGGGGGCAGAGTTTCTTCCAGGCATCTCTTCGGGGGGGGGGCGAGGCCCCCTAGAAAAATTTTTACCGCCCCCCCCCCCGAACGAAATGAAATTTATATAATTTATATAGAAAATATATACTTTTAACAGTGCCCGCCACCCCCCGAAGAAAGTCTACCGCCCCCCCCCCCCCCCGAAAAATTCAAGTGCCCCCCGGAGAAAAAAGTCTGGAAGAAACACTGGAGGGGGGGAGGTGGGGGTGCGGACCGCACCGTGTGACACCATTTAGGGGGTTAAACCAAGGCAAAAAAAAGAGTAAAATATATAGAGAAAAATGATAATTCCACTTAAGTGATTAATTCGAGTGTTAAAATGTCTTTTAAGAGCAAATTTGACAAATCCCGACAAGGGTGGAGGGGGGAGGGTGCAAATAGAAAGTTCGAGGAGGAGGGGGGGGGGGGTGTAAATCGAAAATTGGAAGTTTGTCCCCGGGCGCCGGGAAGGGTCGCTACGCCTCTGGGGATGACACCATTAAGTGTCGCACCGGCGGGTGACACCCGACCTCGCTACGCCACTGACAAAGAGGCCTGAACTGTGTACACTTTTAATCATAATATAACCTTCACAGTGAGAGTCAATAGATTGCTTTCCTTTCAAATTGGCAACTATCATGTTTTGTTTTTAAAAAAACAAGACTATAACCTACTTACATATACTGACTTATCCGTGCCAAATGTTAAAATAAATGTAACAAATAGACAATGCAAACCATTATAACAACATGCATTTAAACAAGAAAAAAGCTGACTTTTTTATATTATCGTGTACATTCAGTTGCATTATTTTATTCAAATGTCTAAACTTCATTGTATTACTAATACATTAAGGATGTGATAGCAACTGTGAACACAATACAAGAAGTTTAGCATAAATGTGTTTAATAGTAATATTTCATAGCTAAAACATCAAATTTAGCAAAACAGAAAATCATAAAGGTTTTGTTACAATTTGTTAATACAATGACGCGCTACATTTTTATGAGGAAAGCCTGCGCTGAAATAAACGATTAGAGAAATTCAATTAAAATAGCACGTAACATAACTTTGGGTTTTAATATATCAGACGTGTATGCTAATGTTTGTATCTACTAGTATACCCATTTATGCATAGTTTTGTAAATATTTGTTCTCTAAATGAAAATTGCGTGAACTGGTACTCAATACAAGTGCAGTATTTAAAAAAACGTAAATTAAACAGCCCCCCCCCCCCACAACAACATTACACCACCAACATGCCTTATCTTGTGAATTAAACAGGTAAAAAAAACACCACCCACATACCTTATCTCGAGAATTAAACAGCCAAAAAAAATAACATCACCCACATGACTTCAGATTACCTATACTCTACACTCCCAGCTAAAAACAAGTTAATTAAAAAGTCTAGTGACATTTAAGCGCAATTTCCTTATGTTATCTAAAAATAGCTCTGTCGTAGCGTAAATCAAGAACAGGGTTAGTAAAACCTTTGGTTAAAATACATGTTTTATTAACAATCGAGTTACATGACTAAAAACCATTGCGCGCCTAGCTACTGAACGTGATGACGCAGCCATTGAACGTGATGGCGAAGCTATTGAACGTGATGACGCGTGTGGTGTGGTTGGATAAAAATGCCTACTAATTCGGTCCAAATTTAATTAATTAAAATAAATGTGTGACGGAACGAAATGATATTTTTGAAAACTTTCTTCGGCAATATTGTTCTAAATTATGGCGGGAATCGATTGGTATATGTTTCAAGTCGCTAAGTAGTCTGGTTGCCGAGATATAGGCCAAAAACTGCATTTTTTCGAGGTTTTTTGGCTTTTCCGGGAAATCCATGAAAGAAACCCGGAATTTTTATGGCCTATGTTCATCCTCGTAACTTGCTTAACATATTTGCTTTTGGAACTAGTCCTCGATATTGCTTCGTTGAGGAGGAGATACGACTTAAAGCTGCGGACACACATTCATCCATTCATCCATCCAGAAATGACGGGTTAATAAACGCAATTCTCCAGAATGGAAATTGCGCTAAAAATTAAGCGTGTCTAGCTAAAATTAATAAATTAATAAAAAGAAGTTTAGACGTATCTGCTTGAAAAGATTCACAGTCGTATTTGTACGTTTTCATTTTATTTCTTAGTCTTTAATGAGATTTTAAAACTAGTGAGTGTAAAACGGATACATATTAAACGGGTGACAGCAGATAATTAAAAAATTTGGGAAAAATTTAAAGTATTGACAGCTGGCGCAATTAATGAAAGCAAACAATGGAAACAGATGACAATGCACACAATATAAGGGAAAGTAAATGATACAATATATGTGAAACATGGTACATTTTAAAGAAATGACAAATGATATCATAAATGAGGTTTCATAATGTATCGTGCCTAAATAAAACCATCATAAATACAGTTAGCCTGAATTACGGGAACGGCGTAGCCTAGCGGTAGAGAGCTAGACTACTAACCCAACAGCCTCGAGTTTGAATCCGGGTCAAATCAGTGCAGTCTCTGAGTCCACTCAGCTCTGATGAGTACCTAACTTACGTTAGGGAAACAAAGGCGGCTGGGCAGATTACTGACTACACTATTCCTTTCATAGGCAGATGTATGTAAAGTAAACAATCAGACCTTGTGCACTAAATAAAAGCTTATAATTTTAACTATATAATTCATATACATTTTTTGAAGACCACCGGTTTGAAATTTTATAATTTGTTTACAAACTAAATTGATCCTCCTAGCGAATGCTTATAAAATATTAACATAAGAAACACAAAAACATACAGTAATACTAATTAATATGTAATTGTAAAGGTGGTTTGGTTTTGTCTACTTAAAGGCATAATAGAGTTGTTATGATACATCAAGTGAAAACAATTTTACATATAACTATGGCTGTCTTCTTATTCTTTTTTTATAAATTTAAGTGTTGGAAGGGATTCCTTCCAACTTAATTAAATATTTCGTGTGATCTTGTTATGCGTCATATAGGCCGTTGACTCCGATATCAGCCTGATTTTCTTTTTGGATTTGCTTGCATAGCCTTTGTTCAACCAAAAACAAACTACAAGACAGCAGTTGATAATAACGTATACAAAAAGTAAAATGTATACTATATCTAACGAAACAAAAAATGTCGGACTATAGAAACAATATCCAATAATACAGCAGAAACAAGAGCCGATTTAATTTTGATTCACAAATGATTTGTTGATTTCACTCATTCCTTGTCAGGTACTTGCATTAGATCTAGATTTATAGTAGATAAATCAATCTGGACAGTAAACAATAGCATATGAACTTAAATGGGCATAACAAAATTTCCGTTTATTAACAAAACACCCTAATCTCTAAATCGTCTTTTACGCCTAATTTTAGTTAGCCATGCCTTGATTTATACTTTTTTTGTTTGTAATGTTGAATTATATACACACATAAGACATCCTTTACCAAAAATGCAATGCTCGTGTTTACATTCTTGATAGCTAAGTTTATTACACCATTTAAGCAGAAATGTACATAAGTATAGAAATACATGTATTAAATTACATGATAAAAAAATTCATAAAAAACGTTTTAATAACAAGCTCTTACGTAATACTGCACTAAAAAGTAGAAAATAAATTATAGACTACTATTTAAATTACTATAAAGAAAAGCGTGGGTAACTTCAGTACCTATTGGATACCTTTACTAAAATTTCAGAAGAGACACACGCTTTTCTTTATAGTAATTTAAATAGTAGTGTATAATTTAGCTTCTACTTTTTAGTGCAAAATTGATTTATACTTAAAAGCTTGTTATTAAAACGTTTTTTATGAATTTTTTACTTTCTCGATTATACTAAGTATAGAGAATGTCTTGTAATCGTGCAATAAAAAAAATCGAGATTTTTACAAATCTCGACGATTTACATCTCACTGATACGGAAAAACATAATTTTGCAATCTTGTCCGTATTTCTGTGTGTCTGTCTGTGTGTGTGTGTGTCTGTCTGTCTGTGTGTAAACACGATAACTTGAGTACTTTTACAGTTAGGTTGATGAAATTTCATATATAAGTATTATATCGAAATCGTAGATCCTTATCAACTTTTGAGCAATTTCCGATAACCGGAAGTGGCACTTTTTCTACTTTGAATTTTTTTAAAAGCCTATAACTTGGGTACTATTTCAGATAGATGAATGAAATTTCCCATGTAAGTAAAAGATCTAATTTTCTACCTTCTGTTAAATTTTGAGTAATTTCCGTTGACCGGAACTACTAATTTACGCTATTTCCGATTTCTCAAGAAACGCATGTAAATTTATAAAGTACTAATAATATTGCGCACTATTATGCACTTTTTTATTTGGCGTTCACTTGGTGTGTAATTCTTTTGTCTACGAGATTTTATTCTATTTTTAAAACTTTAAGTATTTAAAATGGGTTAAAAATCATGTCTATAGCCCGAGTTCCCATCCCCTGTTGTTTTATATAAGAATATTCGAGAAAGTTTAGGGGAGATCACTCCCGGTTTATTTATCATGTAATTTAATACATTTTTTATTTACAATAGTGTTACATGACTTAAAACCATTGCGCGTCTATTGAACGTGATGGGGCAGCTATTGAACCTGATGGCGCAGCCATTGAACGTGATGACGCGTGTGGTGTGGTTGGATAGACATGCCTACTAATTCGGTCCAAATTTTAATTAATTCATAAAAAATTAATTAGGCATCCAATTAAGTCATATTTAGTTTCAGATGGCATTGTCTTCATGTCTTGACCTACGTGCCAACTGTGGATCGTATCGGTCAAGTAGAAGTGTCTGAATTTTCGCTCCGGCGTTTCGATCTAGACAGACAGACGATTGACGACAGACAGAGGAAGTGAGTTAAATAAAAGCTTGTAAAAATCGAATCAGATTGTGTCTCTTTGGCAGCTCAATCTTTATGTCCGGCCTTTTCCTTCAATTTCCTTTTACTTTCTAACTTCTTGTGAACTATATCAACCAGCAATGTCATTAACCCTGTAACTGAAGCTCCTGCTGTAGCCGATGCACCTGCAATTTGTAAAGCTATCACTCCAAAGCCTAATCCAACTCCTCCAGTCAAAATGCCGGCAGTAACGACTATTACAGCTGTTATCAATGCTACTGTTTTTTTGGAGATCGGTGGATTTTTAAGATCCTCTAACAGTACTGCTATTTCATGTAGCTGCTCATTGATTGGTTTATTTAGGTTAATTATAACCAGCTTTCTTTGAATTAGTTGAACTTTTTTAATCAACTTTTCTTTGATCTGAACCTTTTCAACTGTGTTAAGTATTTTATTCAAAAGTTCTTTGATAGCCTCTTTCAATCTTGTCAAATCTTCTTCAGTCGCAGCATTGCGTTTTTTCAGATCGGACACATCCTTCATTATTTCACCCAAATCTTGTTGTAACTCTAAACTTAACTTTGGGATGTTGTGTTTTAAAATTTCTTCTTCTCGCTTCTTGAAACAAGTTTTAAAGTTCTCGCTCGTGTAAGCACCTTTTATCTGTATACTTTTGGCATACTTTAGAAGTAGCTTCACCGAATTCTGTCTTTTGGATTCATACTTGTCTCCTTTGTTATAGAAAAGCACAACTCTATTATTACAGTCATTCATTAGTGCTTTTAACTCACCCGTCCGTTGATCACACCATTGATGAAATAAAATGTCTTCATGATTTAAATCAAAGCTTTCCCCCTTTGTCATTATAATAATTCCATGATTTCTTAAAAAATCTGCACCGAAAATTTCTTTTATTTTCTCCACAGCTCTTATTTCTTCCTTATAAAACCTAGCCCCGTATTCTAAAACCAAACAAAAGACATGAATACCTTCTGGGCACACACTCATCACTTCAGGAATCTGGATGATGGTGCTTATTATGTCTTCCTTTTTATCCGAATCAACATAACCAGGCGTGTCGACCACTTTAACCACCAGGTTATCATATGTAACCCATTGAACATCTACCATCAATGTACACGTTTCCGCTTCATCACTCTTAAAATATGGCCATCCCAAAATAGAATTTCCAGTAGCACTTTTGCCTTTTCCAGCTTTGCCAACCAACGCCAATGTAATTTTCAGCTGTTCACAAAATGCCATCTTGAATCTTTAGATTGGAACTACAAAATAAAAAAAATGAAAGTTATTAGTTGCATTATATTGATTTTATAATTATATTGCAAACAAAGTAACTTTAAAAACGAAATAAGCATAAATTAAAATATAACAATGTTTTTTATATGTTTTCAATTATTATTCTTATATTCCAAAGTTTAAACAGATATTGGTACCAGAATAATATTAATAAAGAAAATGTGACTACTGGAGCAACAAATATTATCAAGAAATAAATTTAATTTTTAAAATTATTACCTTAAAAACTAATCGTTTATAAATAACCTAGCGTACTTGCCCCGCGAGTTACTACAAGCAATAAGGTATTTTAAAACTCGTGACCTTGTTTTTGAGTACTGAGTTATTTAAATGTAAAACAAGGTAGGCACTATATGTCTTGGATCACATTTATTGGGGCGCAGTTTTTATCACACATACTGATGTTGTACGTTAATCACCCTCCGTAATAGTGCAGTATAACACACCTCTGTGTCCACTGATATGTCAGGGGCGTTTCGGCGTCTCTAGGATGCCACTAGTTACACTACCTTAGGGACGCTGCTTCTATTTAATCAGCTAAAGTTGTATGCTAACTCTTTAAAACAAACGTTTATGTCATAGTGCACCTGCTAAGAAGTAGTCAACGATTGCAGTAGCCCGACGTATCCATAGTGTATCGCGAAATAAAAAAAATAGGTATTATGGCGCTCACAAGAGAGTCCGTGGCGCATATTCCTAAACTGCCTGACGCGGTTTAGTAAACGATTATAGTAACCTAACGTATCCATAGTTTATCGCACTTTTTAAAACAATTGTAGGCGCCCAAAAGCACCTTTACCTGACGTCGTTAGAAAACACCCTAGGAGTATTCATGTATATATAAATAATATAATATAATATATATACAGGGGCGGAACTACCATACCGCCAGACCCCGCAATGCCGGGGGGTGGGGGGGGGGGCCCAGGACGTTTAGGGGCCCAGTTCCGACCAAAAAACAATGATTTTTTTTTCAAAAATTAAGTTTTTCATGCATCTTGAAAGTGGTTTTGTAAAAATAAAAAAAAACAAATAAAAAAAACAGGTCTACTATAGCAGAGATTGTTGCGTAGAAAAATATTTTAAAATCTACAAAAGCTATAGTTTGAACGGTAGGCAAACATCCACACTAATTCCATGACTTACTGCCTACTTTAAAATAGGTATGCCCACGAAGCTCATTTAAATAGTTGTACTATGTATATTAAAAAGCAATTGATTCTCTTAATTGTTATTTAAATAAGACGTACTAAACAATAATATAGCTATAAAAATCAATGTTTTCAAAATTGATATTATATAAGCCAAAAAAGAAAAAAAATTAACATAACGCGAGAAACCTTTCACGAATCAAGCTTACGACTTTATATATTTTTGACCAACATGGATAGTAATGGTCATGATTATCTCTAGCCCAAGATGAATTAGGACCAAATTTGTCTGGTTTGTTCTCTCATAATGGTTATATATTGCAATGAAGTAGACTAAATTACTCAGTTAGGATATAGGTTTTATATATATGTATATATATATATATATATATATATATATATATATATATATATATATATATATATATATATATATATATATATATATATATATAGGGGGGCCCTAATTTTTTCTTTGCGGGGGAGCCTTTTTTTTCTAGTTCCGCCACTGTATATATACATTGAATATATTTATATATGTATATATATATATATATATATATATATATATATATATATATATATATATATATATATATATATATATATATATATATATATATATATATATATATATATATATATACGAGGTATAAAAAAATAAAAGTAGGCTCGACACGTTCATCCGCGTGCCATGAAATTTTGGGGAGTAGATGAGAATACTCCCGAAAACCTTTCGGTGGACAAAAAATCTCTACTGTGTAGCGCCCGAAAGTGTGCGATTTTTATTTCTACAGAGTTTGGCGGTCAGAATTCCAGAGGGGCTATCGTAGCACTTGGTATCCGTTATTCATTAGCCCTACATAGCCGGAAAAGGGTTAAACTGCAACAGACGCAGTCGCTGGTGCCCCCTGTGATTTTGTAACCCGAATCGCCCTGGGCTCCCAGGATTAAATTATCCGGGGGGAAAGGGGATGACGTTGGTAAAAGTATATATTTTCTATATAAATTTTATATTTTTTATAGAGATTTCTATATAAATAATATTATTTTCGGTTGGGTGGGGGGGGGGGGGGGGGCAGAGACGTTCTACGGGAAAAGGGTGGCCTTTCTCTCCCCCGAATAGAAAACTTCAAATTTTTGATGAATTTAAAGGCATTAAAATTAGTGTTTTTAACCCCTTAACGCTGACTGTCGCGTTTTAGCGCATTTGAAAATTCATAAAATATCAGTTTGAAAAAATACACTCTTGATTTTTAGCTGAGTACCCCAAAATATGGTAGAAGATTATTAATTCATTGTTCGTTGGGCTTAAAATATAATCTTTTATGAATGGCGGAATTTTTCAAGATAGCAATCTTTGTCATAGACACCAAGATTTTAGTTTTTAGAAATTATGTATAGTAAGTAACCATTAAGTTTTAAAAACAACCAGTACCTTATGTATTATTTCCATTACATTCAATAATAATTAATGCTAATTAATAATAATTAATGCTATACCTCACACTATTAGAATATCAGCTTTTAAACAAGGTCAGTAACTCAAAATGAAAATTAGCTGTCACATTTTAATGTAAGTCCTGACTTACAATGTGGAAACATTCGCCATACAGTAGCCAAGCTAAGAGAGGGAGGGTGTGGCGGCCGCCCCAGGCGCCAACCCTAAGGTGCGGCCAAAAGTGGTAAAAAAAAATGCAGTTGATCATTCTAAGCTGAAGTATTGAATTAAACACACTCAAAGTTTGGCTCCAAACCCAAAACTGACTGGTAAAAAGAGATATAGTTAATTTCAAACGAAAGACTAAAATGTGGAAAATAGAACACATATAATATCGTTTATTAATATAGTTTATATTAACAAATGGACGAAAAAAAATAGCAAAATAAAACAAAATAAAACAAACTAGCTTTCAAGCGACCAAATCTTTTAATAAAGAAAGCAAATTAGTTTCTTTTTCTTGTTTTCGGTGCATTTAAAAAGTTCGTATTATAAAGATTTTGATATGATTTTACTAGATTTGGGGGTCTATGTTTATGTGACGTAGCTTTACATAGGGTAGGAGGGGGGAGTTAAACATTTGCAAACATGCGTGACTTTATTCATGAATGACCCATAAACCCACAATGACATGATGAATTTTTACTAGTGATAAAGTTCGTCTGCTCGTTTAAAGTGAGGGAAGAAATTAACACATGCAAGGAAAACAGTCGTCCCCCCCCCCCCATCCCCGAAGCGAAGCCTGAAAGAATCTATCAGAATGTAAGCAGATTGTTGGGTACTTCAATAGGTATCTACCAGCACAGGGGTAATTTGAAGAAAAATACATTTTGCTCTATAAAATTAAACATATTAAAACAAACTCCAGTTAACACCCCAACAGTTGCTAGAACTATGGCTATAAACAGTTTTGTTTTGCAGACATTCTTGGCTTTTTTTTAGCTCCTTTAACGTTTTTATTATCCAAATGCTTTAGGGAAGATAAAGCTAATTTTGATATCTTGTGTTTCAAAAGTTCTTTTTCACGCTCCTTAAAAGATTTTTCGAATTCTTCGCTTGTGTACACACCTTCTCTACTTATTTCGGAGGCAAAGCTTAGTTATTGTTCTACCGCTTTTTCCCTTTTCAAGTCGAATTGCCTCCCCTTGTTATAGAAAAGGACAACTCTGTTATTACATTCATTAATTTTTTTTAAATTCATCTGTCTGTTTCTTACACCACTGTTGAAATAAAAAGCCTTCACTGTCTTCATAATTTAGATCAAACTTATCACCTTCAATCATTATAATAATTCCATGATTTCGTAAACATTTTGTACCAAACAATTCTTTTATTTTCTTAACAGCTTTGATTTCTCTGCCACTGAATAAAGCCCCGTATTTTAAAACCAGACAAAAGGCATTTATCCCATCTGGACAGACATTCATTACGTCTGGCAAGTGTGAGGTAATGTTTTCCAAATTCTGATGAGCATCAACCTCCATAACACCTGGTGTATCTACAACTGTAATCTTCATATCCTTACGTGGGGTCGACTTTAAAATGGTCCTATGAGTACACGATTCAACATCGTCATTTGCTGTGAAACACGACATTCCTAAAATAGAATTACCTCAAGCACTTTTGCTATTACCCACCCTTCCAGTCAATGCTAGAGTAATGTTTTGTCTTCGATTAGATTCCATGCTCAAATCTGTCGGAAATTATAATAAATAAATTAAACGATGCTTTTTTTTAATATTAATAAACAGAGAAGATTAATAAACTAGTTTTATTTTTTCCGTTTTTTATCTTAGTGGTTTTAAACTGTTAAACCATTTTGTTATTTTTTTTCAAGCTTTTACTTAAATTCCTTTTTCTGTCTGTATTTCTTTTTTGTCTGTTGAAATAAATCTAAAATGCCGATCAAAATTTTCGAGCACATCTAACTGACCAAATAGTTTCAAACCTATGAAAATGCAATATGACCTCAAATTTGGCTTAATTGGAAACCTAAATAATTGTTATGAATTAATACAATTTTCCTGAAAAATGTAGGGGGCTCTACTATTTTATGCGCATTTTCATGTCTACTCTTCCGTCGATTCTAATCGTTTTTCTAATCTTTTAAAATTAATGTGGTTAATCTACCTATGAATAAATCAATAAATTAATTAACGTCTTTAAATAAATGTGTGATTAACTGTCTGTCTGAAAACAAAAATTGTTCTCTACCTACATACTATTTTACAGCTCTCCACATAGAGTAGAACCATTTACAATAGTCAATCAGACAAAGAAAAAAAATATTCAAACATGTAAACAAACTTGAGTTTTAGTAGTATATAGATAATGAAGGTCTGAAATTATCTTGATCTAGATAGAATTATCTAGTTTTTGCGTATCTCTTGCTAGATCTAGATCTAGATCTAGATCTAGATCTAGAATCTAGATCTAATCATTAGACCTATTCTAGCTAGATAGATCTAGATCTAGATAGATAAATAACAAAGATTTATATCAAGTATTTAAGGACTAAAAAATGTATTATGATTATAAAATGGATTGTATTTTTATCTAATTAATCTTTGGTATGTATCTAATTAATCTTTGGTTTGACCCAGATTCTAGATCTAGATCTATAAACAACTTGCTTTGCAACCTGATATTTTTAGAACTATAAATAACTTTCTTGGACAGATTGTAGAGCTAGAGAACTTTATTGTAAAACTAAATGAAAAAGACAGTTGAAAATTTATATAAGTGTTGGTACGTAAAAAACAGCAAACGGACGTATTGTTAAAGTTATGGCCGACAGAAAATTAGCTTTAGAACGCGTTAAACTTTTGAATGGGCCACTAAGTCAATGATGGAAGCCGCCATCTTATTGTACTAAAAAGTAAACAAAACTTGTGACGTCACTATTCAGTCAAAGAAAGCCATTGTTCTAAAATTTTAAAATTAATGTGGTTAATCTACCTAAGAATAAATCAATAAATTAATTAACGTCTTTAAATAAAATTTTTATTAACAGTCTGTCTCAAAACAAAAATTGTTCTCTACCTACATACTATGTTACAGTTCTGCATATAGCGTAGATTTTCTACAGTAGTAAATCAGACAAACAAAAAAACAAACAAAAAAAAACAAATAAATATTCAAACATGTAAACAAACTTGAGTTTTAGTAGTATATAGATAGATAAATTCACATGCGTTATTTTTTGAGAAATCGGAAATAGCGTAAATCACTACTTCTGGTCGGCGGAAGTTACTCAACATTTTATAGAAGGCAGTGGAGAATTAGATATTTTACTTATTTGTGAAATTTCATTTCTGTATCTGAAATAGTACTCAAGTTATAGGCTTTTCAAAAAAAAGACAAAATTCCCCTTCCGGTTATTGGAAATCGCTCAAAAGTTTATATGGTTCTACGATTTTGATATAATACTTAAATATGAAATTTCGTCAACTTAGCTGTAACGTTACTCAAGTTATCGTGTTTACACACACACATACACAGAGAGAGAGAGAGAGAGAGAGAGAGAGACACACAGACACACAGACATTCGGACAAGATTGCAAAACTATGCTTTTCCGACACAAGGAGCCCTAAAACGTCGAGATTTGAATTTTTTTTTTTTTTTTTTTGTACGATTACAAGACTTTCAGCGCTTGGACAGGGTGCGATTTGGCGCCACGGGCTAAACTGTGAGCACTATGCGTTTATGCTTGCATTTAAGTTGTGTTTATGTTATGAGTGTTGTGTTTGTTTTTTAGTTTGTGTTTTTTGCGTTTGTATTTGCATTGTGTTGGTGTTTTCATTTGTGTTTTTATTTGCGTTTGTTTTTTCTTTTGTGTTTGTGTTTGCATTGTGTTTGTGTTTTCTTTTGTGGTTGTGTTTTGTTTGTGTTTTCTTTTGTGTTTGTGTTGTGTTTAGTTTTGATCTGTTCCCAAGTTGGTACATTTAAAAAAGATTTACCGTGGCTGAGTATATGTATAATTGTATATGTATGTTTAGAACCATCATCTAAAAACTGACGCTATTATCCCTCTGAGTTGGTTCCCCCCCCACCCACTTCACCACCTAAAACGGGACACACCTAGGTATACGCTGGGTAGGATAATTGACCTAAAGTGACCGGACAGGGGTGAATGAAGTTGAACCCCTCCCCCTCCATCCAAACCCACCCCAACTGATGTGTTGGTACATTTGAGGAAACGCGTAATGACGTTCAAAGTACCTTGCCACCAGAATAATAGCTTTTGAAACAGGTAAAAGTCTTTAAATATTATTTTTGCAATTATCAGTAAATAGGTGTGTGTGCAATACAGTGATCCAATCCGTACCTTAACATTATTTTAAAAAAATGATCTTTAAAGAACAAAAAAAAAAAAACAATTGCTGATTAGAGAATGTGTGGTCTGAACTGTAAGACCTATGGTTTAGTTACATGTAGGCTATTATTTAAAATCTTCTACATAATAGGTTTAGTTACAAGGTAAAATAAAAAAGCGTGATTTTATTACCAACTCTGATTTTAAAAACTTACATTATGCTGTAAGATTTTAGCATTTATATTGACAATATATTAAATTCTGATTGTAGACTACATATTTATGTAAAAACGAATAAAATAAAGGTTCTTTACCACACACTAACGTAATTAGTGATATGTTTTGACATTAACAATTAAATTTGTAGAAATATATATATTTATATAAAAAGAATGATTATTTCCCCTAGAAATTTGTAGAAATATATATATTTATATAAAAAGAATGATTATTTCCCCTAGTTCGTTTGTTTTAATTTTCTAGGAATCTTTATGTCAAATTGTTTTTTTACAAGGAGTACAAAAAGATCGTGTTGCGTTCATTGTATGTATTTTTTTTTATTTTTTTATTTAGAGTGATAAATTGTTTAATTTTGTCGGCCAACATTGTGTGTACTTTTCTTATTTCTTCAGAGAACTTTCAATTTATTTTACATCATATCGAAGCAATGACATACAGCTAATATATATATATATATATATATATATATATATATATATATATATATATATATATATATATATATATATATATATATATATATATATATATATATATATATATATATATATATATATATATATATATATATATATATATATATATTTGTATATATAAAATGTTGGTAAAAATTTGAACCCCCCATGAGACGATCCTGGCTACGCCACTGCATAAAACTATATTTTATTTAAAATTTTAAAGTGCTGAAAAAAATGCATAAAAAACACACATTCCCTCGCGCACACACACAAACAAAACATACCGTGCAAGCTAAATAAAAGCACAACCATTACAAATTTCGTTTTCTAGAATTTTTCCCAGAAACTAGAAGTAGGTCACAGCAACAGATTCTGTGCTGACGTCAGAACAGTGTTGTGTGAGGAAAAAGACGGCTGGCTGTTTTATGTGGAGGCGTAGTAGGCTACACACCAGAAAGATACGCAACGGGGAAAAGCCCAACAGAAAAGAGCGCAAAAAAATGCGCAACGGAAAAAAGCGCAAACAGAAAAAAGCGTAAACAGAAAAAAGCGAAAATAGAAAAATGCATAACTAGAAAAAGCTCAAACAAAAAAGCGCACACAGACAAAAAGCGCAAACATAAAAAGCGCACACAGTAAAAACGCAATTACAAATTTGCGCACATCGGAAAATGCGCAAATAGAAAATACGCAAACAGAAAAAAGTGCAGACAGAAATTTGCGCAAGAAGAAAAATGCTCGAACAGAAATGTGTGCGAATATCAAGATGCGCACACAGAAAAATACGCACACTGAATAATTCGAACCTATATGGACTAGGATACACATTTATACATGTTTGTTAAGACTGCTGTGAGAAGGTCGTGTTTGACCTGACGTGATCTAATACCAAATAAGAAAACCACTAATATGATCATTTACATCACAAAGATATAGGCGATAATCGCTTGACACAATGCCATTATTTTCTTGTTCAATATTTATTCAACTACTATTCTCGTTTAAATAAACATAAAACTATCCTTGAGAACCCTACACAAGAAATGTAGGTATCGTTCATTGTAATATTGTATTCGATATCTGACCGATAGTTTAATTCTAAATACGATTCGAGCATCACATATCGCCTTAACATTATAAACTATGCAGGGCAAAACTAAAGTGACGTGATATAACACTCTATTGTGATCAGTGAAATAATCATTTCGGATCTTATTTTAGTCTTGTTAGCCTAAATTATGATAAAAAAAGGTGACCACATTTGGTTTCGAATAAGAATAAAAAAATATGTTCTAAAGGAAAATCACATGTTTTACATAAACATTATTTTTTAAAGTAAACAAAAAGTAAAGAAATTTTCATTTGCAAAAAAAAAAAATAGTATAACTCTGTATATAACACAACTGTAAAGAGCAATAGTATTTTCATATCCATCCCAACAAAGCAACACAATTGATTCATACTCCTCGACCTGTCCTATCTATACACTAAAGACAAAACATGTGCAGATGACCCCTTTCACCCACTTTTACAGCCACCACACACACATACACACATAAACAAAACACACACAACGATTGTTTATTCGTTAATTAAAAACGTCATTTCTGGTATAACCAATTTCTAGGAAAACATGCTTCCTGGAAAACGAAAAGCGTGACAAAGCCCAGCGAGCCATGCTAATTCATTGTACTGTTAAAGTTGACCTACATTTTAATAGTGTAACCTTTTTTTTTTCTTTTTTTTTTTGTAAACAAATGGCAACAATGTAAAATGTTCAAATGCAAACTTATTTGTGAATTGATGTAAATTCTTAGTAAATTAATCATCACTAATTACACTACTAAAAAGATCTAAAGCACAACTTAAAACGTCTTTTTAATTTTAGAATAACAATGTTTCGAAAATGTAAATTCGTAGTTTATTTAATCAGTTTAAAATAAACAGGCTGTGAGGGGAATAGTAATCAATGTAAACCAACAAAGAGCTGATAAAAACAAATTACACATCGAGTGAATAACATTTGAGAATTATTTTACAAAAATAAAGCAAAATTTCAAGGTTATGATATTTAACTATTCTTTAACTAGGCTTAAACTGTATTCACTTTATTTGATGTAGAGTCGTAATTATATCAATAGCAATGTGTGTTTTCTTTTTACTCACGAATTTATTTCCTGTGCTCACGCCGACAACACTGCTCAATGCTCTGTTTGACGTCAACTGAACGACGGCTGCATTTGCCAGAACAGTTTTGAGCTCATCTGCAGCTCGTCTGCTCAACCTGAGTTGCCAGCTAGCGTTTTTTTTTTTTTTTAAACCAAATGTGAATATTTTTTTTTTTTTTTAAGTTATGAAAGCTACATTCGCTTTTGGAATCAAAACAAACACCGACGATGAGTTGTTTTAAGTAAATTAAGTTTAAAATAACACATACAAATCTATATATCGTCCCCCCAGTATTATCTTGTTCTATCTCTCAAAATGTAGTTTTGAGAAAAACGCATCTGAAGTTTCATGTGGTCTGATTCTTATATTTAAACTGTTCCAATTAATTTTTTTTTAGATAAAATGTTAAAGGGCATTAAGCAATGAGCATCCAAGTTATTTTTATTACTTTATGTACCATTAGAAGACCATAATAATTATTTTTCACTTTTGAGATAGAACAAAATACGATGAAAGTGATCAGGTTTCAAAAATTGTATAATGTTCTAAGTCAAATTTTGTGTTTTTTAGGCAGTTATAATAGCTTTTCTAGAAGTATTATCTACTTTTTGTATGAGCAATGTCTTCTGGTTTTCTATCCTATTGTTCCCGGTCTTTACTTTCATATTTTTGATTACCGCAATGTGCAAAAAATATTTTTTGCACTACATTACAGAACAAGTAATATTTTAAGTTGTAAGTATGCTTTTGCATACAGAATTTTGATTTAATGTATTAATAAAATGAATTCACAAGTCAATAGATAGGTTCAATAGATTTTAATGTTTTAATTCTACACCATGAGCCGTTTAAAAAACAAAACAAAAAATAAATAACAAAAATAACAAGAACTTGTAATAATGAATATTGAGAAAATACATAAACTTTGTTTTTATAATCAAAACAGTTTAAGCAAAAATAACACTCGCCGACAGTGCTTTAAAAACGTACTGTTAAAGGCTTTGTAATTTAGAAATAGATGATAACTAGCCACAAAGAGTAGCCATAAATTTTCTGTCAATCTCTGGCATGTAGGGCATCATTTTTTTCAAATCCTTCTTTTTTTCTGCTGAAATTAGGGAGCCCACTTTATTCGACTGAATTGAAAACTCCGGTATACTGGGAGATGTTTCAGGCTTTTCTTTTCTAAGTGTTCTTTATAAGTGGGTTTGTGCATTAAAATGTAAAGTTTATTCTGTAACTTTGGGTTATCTGCATACATCAACATAATTTGATTTAGTCAGTGGCGAGTCTTGTTAGGGTGACACTCGGTGTGGTAACTGAGGGTGTCAACCCTCCACCCTCTTACAATTTTACATTTTTGGTTTTGTGTCACCCCTCTACCCTATAATTGTATTTTAAGATTAACTGGATAGATAATTATATTGACTGTAAATTTTAGTGTTTTTCACATTGGTGTCGCCCTCTAAATGGCGTCACGTGCGGATCACACCACGCCCCCAGCCTTGTGATACAACTGGAATTAAAGTATTAATACAATAAATGCAAATCTCATGAATTAGCTTAAAAAATAATGTATTAATTTTACACAATATACACAGCTCCCTAATTCAAAAACAACCAATCTTGTAATTTAATATATTGAGAATATACATAAACACTGTTTCTTTTCTCATAATGATGCTGCGCAACTTGACTACAGGCAGCGCCAATACCCATATCATTGACACTGCTTTACCAGGTCTCTGTTGTTTTTATTGTTCTCTTTCGCACTTCTCTGTGGATAGAAATAAAGATAGACTACATCAGTACAAAGTGCAAAAACAGAAGGACTTATTTCCCCCACCCCCCTCTGCTACACTAATACTAAACTGAAAACCAGGAATAAACTTATATTCATGGTTTTAAGACTAATAAGTTACTAACAATGAATTACTTTACATTTTGATCTGTAACAAAGACATTGTTTTCATCATCCATATATTGGAACACTTCCCCATTATGATTTTGATAATATATTTATACAAAGTAAACCCTACAGATACTATTAAACTACTATACTACTAAACAATACAATTAGTATAGGCGTATACTACGGTATACATTAACAATATTAGGCCTATTATTAATTAAGATATTTTAACAAACTTTGAACTAAATATGTGTAAAATAACACAGTTAAGACAACATATAAAAGATAAATATACTTACGATTCAGGATCTGGTAATTCAGTCAGTTTATTTGCATGACAACCAAAATCGACTAAAAGGTCTTCACACGCCGCCATTTTGATCAACGACGCACAAGTCACATGACTTACAGCTGATTTCATTGGCAGAATCGGACATAGAACATTATAATTCTAGCGTATCCAAGCAAAATTTATGCGTTAATTTTATATAGATTATATACTGTTAGAACAGAATCATATTATAAAATTGACATAGAACAATATTATACTGGCCAAATGCATCAACTTGTAGTTAGAACAATGTCAAATTGAAAAGTTTGGTAGGAAGCAGATGACTTAGAGTCACGTAGATAAGTGGAGATTGAACATAGTGCTTTTCTACATCATAGGGTCGAGTTTTTCGAAAAAATCAAAATTTGTAGTTAGAACAAGATAATACTGAGGGGACGATATATAATTCTCTTCTTCGAGCCGTTAGAAAACAAGCTGCAAGCGCCTCCTTGCAGTCCCCTCTCTTTCTCTCTATCACTATCACTACCATCCCCCACCCCACCCCAAAATTGTCTGGTGAGCGGTGTTCACTCTAAATTTTTACAAAGCTAAATGTTTACAAATCGTAGAGCCGTACAGCCGGGTTTCTATTAGGGGCAGATAATTCAGTTCGATTTTAAACTTACAGGAGGTAACTAAGAAATAACTAAGAGGAGGCTGCTTTCACGGGGGGTGGGGGGGGGGGGGTAGGGTCGGGGTTAGGGGAAAGGGGTAGTGTTTTAAAGCAAATATTTTCAGTGGCAGCATTGGTACTGTCGAATTCACAAATTATGAATTACTGAAAAGTAGAAAATAAAACAACTAAATAGCGGCGTATGATACGCTGCGGGTCGGCTCGTATATTATATTTTATATAGATAGATCTGGAATACACGTGTTTTTTTGACGTAGGACTAGACCCTGTATACTTGAATGTATAATAATAATTTTTTTTATAAAATATGAGATTTATAAAAGATTTCAATCGTAAATCTGAAATCAAGCCTAAATTAACTAAATTTAATTAATAAATATATATATAGTCTAGATCTAGATCTATATCTAGATCTAGAATCTAGATTTCTCGATCTAGAATTCTAGATCTAGACTAGATCTATGACTAAAAAAAGTCCTCTTGAAAATTCCGACTTAGACAGTAACATACGACATACAGTCATACAGGATTTTTTATTTTATTATAGACTTACGACTCTTAGAGTAGTATGCAGATCTAGATCTAGTTTCTTATATTTTACAGTGTAGTTGAGTCAGTAGCGTAGCGAGGGGGGG